ATCCAATGGTGCCCCTTTTGTTCAAGTACAGCTATCACTGCATGTGGTACAAAAACTGTGACAGGCTGCCCCAAGGTTAATTTCCGGGCTTCTTTAACTAACACCACCACTGCAGCCACAGCTCTCAAACATGCAGGCCATCCTTTGCTTACTTTGTCTAACTGCTTGGAGAAGGAAGCTACTGGTCTTTTCCAGTCTCCCAGAGTCTGAGTCAGGACTCCCAATGCTACACGTTCCCTCTCATGCACATATAATGTAAAGAGTTTCCTTAAGTCTGGCAGACGCAGAGGAGGGACTCTCATTAGTTCAATTTTAATGGAATCAAATCCTTTCCAGCACTCTTGTGTCCATTCCAAAGTTTCCCCAGGCCCCTTCATAGCTGCATGTAATGGTTTGGCAATCATGCTGAAATTTGGTATCCAGAGTCTACACCATCCAGCCATTCCCAAGAACCCTCATAGTTGTCTCTTAGGGGCAGGGGGAGCTATTCAACACATAGCTTCACTTCTTTCTGCTCCTAGTTTCCTCTTTCCCTGAGATATCTCTAATCCCAAGTAAGTTACAGTGGCCTGTATTATTTGAGGCTTTTTCTGAGATAATCGATATCCAGCCAGTCCCAAGAAATTCAGCAAATCCATAGTTGCAATTTTACATTGTTGTTCAGTCTTTGCCCCAAGTAGGATATCATCTATGTACTGCAGCAAAGCAATGGAAGGATTCTTACCTTGCCAATTTTCCAATTCCTTGGTAAGTACATTACCAAACAGTGTTGGGTGATTTTTGAATCCTTGTGGCAGCATGGTCCAGCAGAGTTGTATTTTCCTCACTGTGGTAGGACTCTCCCACTCAAAGGTGAATATTTTCTGGCTTTCTTCTTCCAAGGGGATGCTAAAGAAGGCATTTTTTAGATCTAACATTGTATAATACACACTATCTTCTGGAATTGCTGACAAGGTATAAGGATTTGGGACAACTGGATGTACATGAACTGTGCTTTTATTAATTTTTTTCATGTCTTGTACCAACTGATACTCTTGAGTTTGAGGTTTCTTAACTGGCAAGATGGGAGTGTTGTACTCTGACTGACATTTCCGCAACAATCTATACTACACAAAAGTATTAATCAATGGTTCTAAGCCCACTCTGGTCTCTAATTTCATAGGATATTGGTTTTTCCTTACCAGTTGAGCTCCCGATTTTAATTCAACTTTTACTGGAGTAGCGTTTTTGGCTCGTCCAGGTTTCTTGGAAGCCCGTACCAGGGGTATTACAGCATCCAAAATTTCCTCTGAGATTCCAGTCCCCTCCTGTTTCTTTTCGGTCACTAGACACAATTGAGCCCTCCATGCTGTCTCTTCAAGCACGTGTAGCTGAATAGACTTACCAGAAAATGTCAGTTGCGCTTTCAATTTACACAATAGGTCATGTCCCAGCAATGGGAGGGTGCATTCTGGCATATATAGAAATTCATGAGTCAATGTAGTATTTCTGATTGTACATTCCATAGGTTTTAAAAACGGCTTAAGAGCTCGCTTTCCTGTGACCCCAACAATTGGCATATACATTTTATTTAAAGGCCCCTTACAACTAGGTACTACCTAATGGGTTGCCCCGCTGTCTACCAGGAAGTCTGTAACTTCATTCCCCAACTTTACGGGAACCAGGGGATTGGCTGGGGAAATCTCAGTATTCTCCTCCAGTCCACTTCATTTGGTATCAGGTATCTCTAACATAATCTGATCAACACCTGACTCTGGTCCCCCTTTTTCCTGAGGATTCAGCAAATAATTTTTCTTTCTGTGGGCATTCCTTCCACATTTTCTCAATAGGACCCCACTGATTGCTTCCAATTCAATAGATCTGAGGTAGTGAACGGGCCATGTACAAATACTGGCTGTCCCTCCGCTCCTATTGCCTGTCTCAAGGGAGCTTGTATAATGGGATGCTGTTCCCTTGTTCTCCCTGAGATTGGGCTAAATTTCTCACTCCGTGCACTTGAGCCGGATGTGGCCTGGTCTTCATCTTCACTGTCGCTGCTATCCCATGATTTCCTTTTCTCATCCCTTCACTCTACATTTACTGGATTCCCCTTTGGGACCAACATCTTCACACCTTCAGCCTCCCCAGCATCCTTAGCACACTTCCCTTTACATTCTTTTCCAATTTCACAATTTTTACAATTCTTTTTCTTTCCCTTTCCATTAGCACTTTCTGCTAATACATACATTCCATCAGCATCATCCATCAACAATGTACATTTTTATGGGTTTCATGATTATGTCTTAAAACGAAAACCAAATCAACATACACAACTTCATCCCATTTATCCATCCTTCTACAAAACAACATTAATTGTAAAATAGTATTATAATTCAATAATCCATTCTCTGGCCATTTTTCTCCATCCTCCAGTTCATACATGAGCCACCATTGGGCACAATAAGGTTTTAATTTATCTTTCTTCAGGGGATCTCCTCTGAACTTTCTCCAATTTTTCAGGATTCATCCTAAGGGAGTACACAGGGATACTTTGGTAGAGGCAGCCGCACCCATATTACACGTATTATTATTTCCCAGGAGAAATTTCTTAACCCACAGCTACATATACCTTTTTCCAATCCCCCTGTCAGAGTAAGAAGCCTTTTAAGCTCCTGCTGCGGGCCCTTCTTGGTGCATCTTACACAGAGCAATTCAGAGTGTTTTTGAAAGCAGCTACTTACCTCCATTGTCCCTTGCCTCCCTTTAAATATCTTGTATTGGCATTGCACCATTGAGGTGCCTGTCATCTCTCTGTAGAGAGGAACTGGTGGATTCCCCAATCAAAATGTCGGTGCGTGCTGGAGTCCCTCCTGGTCCCATCTCCTGTCCGGAGCAGCAGGACAATCTGGGCAAGGCTTAAAATGGCCATCCCGTCTGGGTCACCAGAAACTGTTGTCCCACAACTGGGGTTCAATACCCAGCGTGCAATAAGCCAATCTTACACACAGAGCTATTTATTTCATGTTTGTGCAAAGATGGGTGGTAGGTGATAATTCCACAAAGCTAGCACACCACACCAAAGAACTACAATTTATGTATTATGTCACATGATTAGTAAAAGCCCACTTTAAGGGGGTTTGGTTTTGGAGGGTTTTTTTTTTTAGAAAACCAGGCTAATAGCTAACCAGGCATTTGTCAGTGTAAGATGTGTAAACATTAAGTATGTGAGCAGAGAAGTTTCATCAAGTGGTAGGGTAGCTTGAATTTGGTCACATCAGAGAACACATTTGATCTCACTGCAGGCAATACCCAGTCACATAACGCCAGTACTCAGGGTCTGATGCATCATGTTACAGGAGATGCTGGAAGGCTGGTTGTGTGACAAGTACCTGGTGGGTCAGATGATGGAAGAGGGCTTGAGTATATAGCCTTTGCCTGCCATGATAAGAAGCTGTGTCACACACAGCGGCATGTTAAGAAACAAAAGTAGGAGATCCTGAATCTAATGAACCATCTACTGGAATTTGGTTCTTGGTAATCCACATAAAGACAGACTTTGTAATTGGAATCCTGTGGGAGTAAATGGAGCAAATATAAGGAGGGTCGTTGCCCAGCTTTCCTGAACTCCAGACCTACGCAACATATGTCTGCACTCACTATGTTTTCTACCCTTTTGTCAGTAACTTGATCAAATATTTATAAATATAACTATCAATTAATTCATATGGCTTTGTAGAAGAATGCATGAAATAATTATAAATGCTAGTTGGCTTTGTTTAACATACCAAGGTTTAGCTGAATTGTTAATATATTTTGGAGGGCTCGAACAGACTCGTCAACAGATCCAGTAAACTGGTAGATTAGTACCAAAATTATCAAATAAAGCAAGAATTGGCTACAAGGGAGATGAGAGTTGAATTTTTTAATTTTTTTTTTTAATGGAGTGGAGGGGAGGATGAATTAGGCTAAGCCATAGCACAGTATTCATTAGTATCTTCATTAATGATACACAAAAACGTTAGAGGTACACTGCTGAAATTTGCTTTTAATAAAAAATCAGGAGACACTGCTATTACAGATTAGGATTAGGATGCACTGGATGACCTACAAATTGGAGTAGTGAGACACTGATGAGATCTTAACCATAATGCTGTACAACAAATCTGATATCAGTGAAAGAAATATGAGATCAAACTGGAGTGGGAGAAACTGCAAGAAATAATAAGGATAAAACAAATTAAGTCATATAAATGGACCTTGGAAAGTTTGACAATTGTTCATTCTAATAAAAATTGAGAGAGGATATCAACAGTCTTGATAATTGTAAGAGTGAATAAATATACAAAGGAAAATTAAGTCAAATGACAATTTTGACAGAAGAACAAATATATATAAGCATTAATAAATTGATTGTGTAATTAAAAGAAGGTTTGCAGTCTTGGCACCAATGTACCGGGATAGTCCTTCTGTGGAAATAGTGGCGGTAAAAGAAAACTTTCTGAAACATAAATTGCTTTTATGAAAGTGATTACATGATGTCTTTGCCTAAAATAGCAGAGATGGACTTGATGACATTAGATGTTTCTGTGTTCATTATACAAAGTTGATTGTTACCAAAATTGGTAACTTTACCTACAGAAAGCAAGATGTACATTGGAGCTCGCTATAGAAATTACATGTAAAAGGAGAAAGACGTCTACTATCTATTATGAATTCCAGAATTTTGTGAAAAGGTTTACATTCCCTTTAGAAGTGTTACTTTACATGATGCCATGTAAAGATTCCATGCTTGGAATTCACTTACTTTTTTTTTAAAGTTTCATTCAAATGTAGGAAACTAATTTTAGTGACACAACTCTGCTTTTGAAGATTCAGTCTTTTGAGGAACAGGCTTTTAAATTCATAAGAAAAGGGTACGCTAGAGAATTCTGACATATAAAAAAGCTTTATGATTTATGGAAGTTTATGAGGCCATACATTATCAGAATAAATGGTGGTCTTGTTCTTCTGTATCTTCCTAGTTCCTCAGGCTTAGAATGGAAAGAGTGAATACGTGAGATTGTCTGGCCATGGGAAGGAGAAGATGCCTGCTCCAAGGGTGCCAGTGCTGGCAGCAAGATCAATGGATCTCTTCTATTCCAGGAGACATGGAGGTCTATTTGTGGTTGGAGCTACCTGACTAGATAAAGTATAGATCAGTCTGCTATGAAAGTACCTTCTATGAAGAAGACTGCCTGATGGCTTAGTTTCTCTGAATGTATCACGTTGTCACGATAAGCCTTTTTATGAAATTAAAAACCAAAACCAATATTTTTCTGGTTTCCGGGTTTGGCTTGGAATTTTTATCCCCTTCTTTGTCAATTCAGGTGGGCCATTATCTGTTGCTAATTTTAATTGGAATTGTGGAAGCAAAATCCTGCAATAGCAAAACACTGGAATGTTTCCTTAAGCTTTAAAATAGGCAAGCTTGACTCAAATTTGCAGTAAGGGCACTTTATGCATCTGTAGCAGTATAAATAGCTCTTTAAATAGGTGTAAATAAAATATGTTCAAGTTTAAAGTTTCTTCATGTTGGCAAAGTGGAGTAAAATATTGTAAAAAATAGTGAAGACCAACATACCATACAAACAATGCACTTCAGTATAGGGATTTTCACCAGAAGAACTTGGCTGCTGAAAGGGAGATTGCACTGTCTTCAATTTAAATCAGTTCTGAAGCCAGTTAATTTACGCCACTGTAAATGAAGCTCACAGTGTGCAGCATATGCTGTAAGCAAACATACAGCTTCCTAAGCAAGACTAGAGGTACAAGATAAAATCAGTATCGACTAAACACTCAAAGTTGCACTGTCACCAAACCATCTCTAAATGACCCTATTTGGTAAGCCCTAGCAATCCTGTGATTAGGCCAGGCTGTCGGTGTTTGTTTGTATTCTGTTATTTTACTCCAGAATGCCTAATGGGAATCCACTTAGAAAGTAGTCTAGGAGCCTTTATCTCCCTTCCACTGTAAGCTGTAGAAAGACCACTGGTCTGCTTTGAGTTTGCGGGTTTGTAGTATACAGGTGAGCCTTTTGGAATCTAAAAATATGTAACAAAGTTTTCCTTTTCCATCTTCATTTTACACAAAATTTTAAGAGCTTGGGGTTTTTTTTAGGGTAAGCCTAGGACTAGTCTTTTCTCTTGAATGACCATTAAAAATTTTAACACACTCCTTGGTGTGCTTCCTGTGGACTTTACTGAAAAAATTCATACAGGTGGGTACTATTTGTAGAGTTGTTCTTTGATATATTTCAGATATTTTACTTTTCAAAGTATGCTATATGTATATATTTTGCAAAGTAGAAGTATTATTATCAAACAAAATTCAGTGTAAAAGTCACAACACAAATTTATAACTGCATAGGACTTACAAACCAAATTCAATGCTGGGGATTTTTTTGTTTGTTTTATGGTATATTGATTTTTTTTATTTATTTATTTTTAATAATAAGATTGTAGAATCAATTACTTATTTTTCCATTTCAGTTTCAGGAATAGATTGAAGAAACCATGGCCAATCAACGGGATTACATTAGCAGACCTATTTGCAATGGAATTTCTGTTCCTGAAAATAAAATCAATTCCTTAGTGGCTGAAGGTCATGGACAACAAATTCTAAAAGTACTACAAAAGTTCAGAGAACAAAATATATTTTTTGACTTTAAAATTCTTGTGAAAGATGAAATAATTCCTTGTCATCGTTGTGTACTGGCAGCGTGCAGTGATTTTTTCAGGTAAACCTAATTTTGGCATGAGTTTGCAGGAAATGGATTGTAAGTTCTGTGGGAGGGAGGGAAGGAATATAATTACAAAAATTAAAAAATAAATTGTCACAACTTACGTATGTCTGCAGAGTTTTGAGCAAAGCATTCAAACATCTTATTAAGGATAGCAAAAAAAAGAACCAAAACAAAACTACAGTGTTAGGTGCCTAACCATACCCCAAATACATCTGTTTGTATTTCCAAAGTGACATGAGGACTCTATGAATTTGAGTTTCAGACAGCATTCTATACTCTGAAATACAAATGTCAAACCATAAGTGCATGGTTCTGCTGTTAGGCAGAACTGACACAAGTTGTGTGTCCTTAAGACTGCCCGTTGCCCGTATCTGTACTTGAAGGTCTGCAAGGGTATTGTTTGACTTTGTATGCAACAGTCGATGTACTTTGACACATTTGTATTGTGAAACATAACAGGTTGATTACAAATACATCTTGCATTGAGCAACTGTGGATAAATTGTACATGGTTTTGGAACAGGACTGGATTTTGTGTAAGATGAGTGGTTAGTGGAGTGCCTTCAGAGGTATTGATATTAACTTATATTTTTTTACAAACTACAGATTTCAGCCTTTCAGCATGAAATGGATCTGTGGTCTTCCTTCTGGTGCTTAAAGCTATGGATTCTTAAGGGGCAGACAGATCATTCACATACAGGATAGTAATTTATGAAGAACCTTGCTAACCTTTTTATTAGTAAGGTCCAAACTCACAATTCCATGCTAAAAGTCTGTTTCAAAATACACTTTTTACTAAAACAGAGAGCTAAGATGCTCCAACAATGAAAAAATGAGCTCCTGGAAATGAGTTAATGACCTTGATTCAGTTGCCCATGCATAGGTGACAAGTGTTACTTTCACATGGCCTGGAGCATCCCACAGTCTGTGGGAGTCTGCCATATATGACAGAGGATAGAGGCTAGACATGTTCTTAGGACTACTGTAAAAGGAAGAAATGCAGATGAAATAAGCTATTTCTCCAGTGTAGCAGCAGATTTGTTTTTTCTCTGACACACAGAACTACTTGCATTTCAAGTGTTTACTGCTTGACAGCACAGAGATGCTTTGGTAGAAAGGAATATTAAGATGAAATAACTAATTCTAAAAATTACCACTGGAAGCTAAGCACATGGTAACGTATCTGTCCTTTTCACAACTTACAGGCTCTTCAGGTTAAAATTTGCCAGGAGAGACCTCTCCCTGCATGTAATAGTTGATAAGAGCAGCCATCAAATTCATAAGTTGTCCTGGAATGCAAGGCCCATTTATTGCCTTCAAGGAATAAAAAGTACCTAGGTCCACTAGATAAATTTTAAAATGAAACACCTTTTGTCTTCCTTGGCCTTTGGACTTCTCTTAGTTTTGGTTTCATTGTGCAAACCCAAGATTCAGCAACATTTTGCTCCCTACTTGTTAGCTTTCACAATCAAAGCCTTTGCCTAGATTGCTCTCCTTCTACTACTATTGTTCAGTTCCTATTTTACTCTGTAATTTAGGGATTTGTATCATAGGTGTTGGGTTAGTGAGGAAAGGCTTCTAAGGATTGTCATTTAGTATGCAAAAAGGTCTTTGGGACTTAAGTGTCTTATTGTAATTTTATGTTCTTGTTGAGGAGGTCAGACAAGTTCCTGCTTTACCTGATGTTAACTTCCCAAAATGTATGCTATACACAGTGATATTTTTTTTTTCTCTTTGGCTTCATAAAATATGGGATTTTAAAAATCACATACTATACAGATACTAATTGTATAGCTGAACTATGATATAATACTCTTTTTTAATAGGAACTACCTATGATATATTAATAATCTAGATTATATATTTAGTATTTGATGATTTATCTAAATCTTTCTCCACCATTATCTTTTGTCAAATTCAGAAGCCATTGCTATCACAATGTTGCTGATGCTTAGGCTCTGGGAGGGTAGGACAAGTGATGTTGCAGCACTATTCTGTTGCCAGCACTTATCGGCTTGAAAAATTTCAATTATTTTATCTTGCTATGTTAGATTGTATGAAATAGTTAAATGTTATTACATATTTAGTAATAAAGTAGTCCAAGTTGTAATAAAATTTACACAAATCTACTCATCAAGTTTGTTCCATGACTTCAACCATCGTCTTTGTATTCAGTCACAATCTACTTTCTGCACAAGTTTCATTGTCATGCAATCATATGTCAAAACCTCATTTTTTCTGACATCTGCCTGTACCTATACATCTATTTGACACCTCTAAAGCAAAAACTAAGTTTCCTCATTTTTTTTTTCCTCTTTCACCCCTCACCTACTTTTATTACTGAGGAATGCACCCATCATCCATCCTGCCATTTGCTCAGCCTGCAATTTGGAAGGCCTTTTTTTGCTTAATTTTCTATATTCACCCACACTGCATGACCTAAATCATGGGGCTTTTTTACTGTATATTTTTTAAATCTGCCTTTCTTTCTCAAACTGTTGAAACTGTTGCTGCCCCGAACAATTTCACATTTTCTCTCACATTGAGAGCTGCAGAATTCATCGCTCTCTTTGAAAATCCATACAAAACACAGGTGCTGCTATCATTTTTATCAGCCATCACTGTGAATATGTTCTTATCACCACTCCTTTTTTCCTCAACCATATCAAGCAAATGCATTATTACTTATGAGAACCTCCACATTTTAGACCTCTACAGCCTGCCCACCTTATATGCCCGATTGTCTCCTTCCTCTCACATCAGTGTCTTCTGCTGTTTGCTAGATCTTTAATCTGTGTGTTTATCTTCTATATTTTATTCACAGAGCCATGTTTGAAGTTAATATGAAAGAACGAGATGATGGCAATGTTACTATTAGTAATCTATCACCCAAGGCAGTGAAAGCTTTTCTTGATTATGCTTACACAGGAAAAACAGAGATAACAAATGATAATGTGGAAATGCTCTTCCAACTGTCGTCATTTCTTCAAGTTTCACTCCTTTCCAAAGCTTGCAGTGACTTTTTAATAAAAAGTATTGATCTTGTGAATTGCTTACAGTTGCTTTCTCTATCAGAAAGTTACGGTTCTGTCCGCTTATTTGATCATGCACTCGATTTTGTACAGCACCACTTTTCCTTGCTGCTCAGATCAAGTGATTTTCTGGAGATGAATTTTGAGATACTACAAAAATGTCTTGAGGCTGATGAACTAGATGTCCCTGAGGAAGAATCAGTGTTGAAAGCTGTCCTTCAGTGGACCAAACACAACTTAGAAACACGACAGAAATACCTGCCTAATTTGATTAGAAAAGTGAGACTACACCAGTTACCTGAAAAGACTTTGCAGGACTTTCTACATTCTGAAGAACACTTACTTAAGAGTGCTAATTGCTCAATAATAATCAATGATGCAGTTAAAAGTGTGCAAAACTTTAGTGGACTGTTTCCAGATGCACGTCCTTCAACAACAGAAAAATATATATTTGTTCATAAAACTGATGAAGATGGAGAAAACAGACATACATTCTGCTACAACATCAAAACAGATAAATGGAAAGAACTACCACATACGCACATGATTGATCTTCCAGGGTCAAGTTTATCTAGCTATGGAGAAAAAATATTTATAACTGGAGGATGCAAAGGGAATTGTTATAGGACTGTCAGGCTTCACATTGCTGAACCATTCCATGATGCCACTGACCAAACCTGGTGCTACTGTCCAGTCAGCAATGAATTCTCCATAGTGTCAGCTATGAAAAAACCAAGGACAATGCACACATCTGTTGTAACCTTAAATCAGCTGTTTGTAATAGGTGGAAAGACCAGAGGAGCTCAAGAGACCCGAAGTCTTTTGGATGTAGAATCCTATAATCCTCTTTCCAAAGATTGGAAATCTGTAAGCCAATTACCAAGAGGTATCTACTATCCAGAAGCAAGCGCATGTCAGAATATAATTTACGTCCTTGGCTCAGAAGTTGAGATTACTGATGCCTTTAATCCATCTCTTGACTGTTTCTTTAAGTATAATGCTATGACTGATCAGTGGTCTGAGCTTGTAGCAGAATTTGGGCAGTTTTTCCATGCAACTCTCATCAAAGCCGTTCCAGTGAACTGTACATTGTACATATGTGATCTCTCCACCTACAAGGTCTACAGTTTTTGCCCAGAAACCTGTGTTTGGAAAGGGGAAGGATCTTTTGAATGTGCTGGCTTTAATGCAGGGGCAGTTGGGACAGAAGACAAAATTTATATATTAGGTGGTGATTATGCTCCAGAAGAAATCACAGATGAAGTTCAAGTCTACCATAGCAGTAGGTCTGAGTGGGAAGAAGTTTCACCAATGCCAAGAGCCTTAACTGAGTTTTACTGTCAGGTCATTCAGTTTAATAAATATAGGGATCCCTGGTCATCTGTACTGACAATTTGCTCTGGAGAATTTTGAAACTCCCAAGTCAAAAGAATCTATTTAAATGCACAAGTTTTAGAACAGCTTTTTAGGTATTAATTTACAGATGGAAAAATATGTACTGTTTTGTTTAAATCTTCAGTTTAAATTGTATGCTGTAGAATTGCTTTTGGAAGACTCCATTAAATTCTCATTCATGCTACTCATTATCTAGAAAGTATTACTTCATTTTATATGCAAGTGTTCTCTGTAATTATCTGAATAATTTTCAAAATATTACTTTTCAAAAAAGCATAATCATGAGGAATTCATTGTGTAATATGTGCCATTATTTCTGTAATATTCACAGTTGTCCCAGTAGACAAATTGCTGAGTGAGAAAACTGAGTGTGATACTGTTTTCCCTATGTAACTGAAGTTTAAAAGAAGTTTACATTAGTGTTGTTTTATTTAGGTTTTTTATATTCATAAACCTGTAAGAGGAATTAATTGTCAGCTTTGTCTTATTAGAATGACCTTAGCAAGGGCAAGAGCCAAAGTGACCTTCACAGCATTAAAACCAGGTATCTAACTTGAAGAGACTGAGAATTCCTGTCATCTTACTTCAGCTCTTCAGTTTTACCAGTTTTTCTCCATCCTTGTGCCTTAGTAGTAGCTGTACTTTCTGTTTTCATCCCATTAACTGTGGCATGATAAACTTTGCTAACATTGCAGGGTGGGCAAGATTTCTACAGGATGGATGATTCATGTGGTTATCTTTGCTTCAGTCATGCTGTTAACTAAAGAAAAAACACTTTAGGGTGTTTTCTAACAGAAGTCTTCCATCTCTGAAGTCTCCAGTGCTACCTACTAAGCGGCCACTAGGCTGCTTACAGCAGCAAGCTGTAAAATAAATTTTAGTTGTTGCTTCGGTTAACTAGGGGAAAAGTTCGTATCTTGTCATACATCAAATACAAAGTTACAAAAATAAATCCCCATATGTAAAGTCAAAGTAAAGAGTATTTCTGAGGTAAAAGAAATACTTTTTTTAACTTCTATAGTGGTTTAAATGAGTTAAAACACTTTATCTTGTACTTCATTGTAATTTTAAGTGTTAAAATCTTACATGGTAAACACTACACAATATATTGCTTGATAAACTTTCAGTAGTCATCTATTATAATGTTAAAACTGTAATGGACTTTTAGTATTAATATTAGTCTAGGCATACACTGTGAAGTAAATTTGATCTCATGCATACAAAGCGGGACCTGTGTCTGACGGGACGACACTGAAAAAATTAGCTAGGTTTCATAAATTCATTTGTAGTCTTCCACAGCCTGAGAATTTTCTTTCCTACCAGCTATTTGAATAAGATATTGGGAGCCTTTATGTTCCATATAATTATTGTTTAAGCAGTAAGCTTATCTTCTGCCAGACAGAATGGTTCTAAACACCTAAGCACATCTTTTCCAAGCAGTTTAAAATGAACAAAATTTAGTGAGGCGTCTAAAACATCTTTCATATGGCTTGAGATGACCGTGGTAAGTTCATTATCACATCACTACTGCATGTACTTTTTGCAAAACTCAAGCTCAACATTAATGCTTAAAGCTTAATATCGCCTAGCAACACACTTCTGTTTTAAACAGTAAACAATGGAAAGTTCCAATTCTGTGATTGTCTCTCTAATTTGTTATCAGATACCTTTATAAGTTTAGATAACATTCATCATAAATATTTTCATAAGGAGGTATATGAAAATTACGCACATTTGGAGAACATATTAATAGAGTGGAACCCTCCCACTCAATAATTTATTTGTATTAAAATGCGTGTCAGTTCTGTAGAAGTAAATAGCTTGTTATTACAGTATTTCAGGCAACTTCTACGTTTATTTTGCTCTTTTCATAGTGAGTCTCCAAATCGTATTATAACTACACTTAGCTAGGTAACCTTACAATCACCACACTGAAATCCAAGCATTTTTCTATTGGAACACAACTACTTTTTGTTACTGCAAAGCAGATGTATTGAATAGTTTAGGAGAGATATACTATTCCTGCTTATTGAAACAGTAGGAGAAAAACAGACATATAGGAGAACAGTAGTTTTAGCATTAATACAGCTACTCAAGGTAGCATAGAGACTTCATTAACCATTAGCTATTGCAACTTGTCACTTCATCAGACTATGAGGCCCAATTCTCCTTTGCTTGTGTTTTTGTGTTGTTTCTATACCGGAGTAATAGGAGTATGCAATTTATGCAATGAGAAAAGTAACATATTATGCCCATAGTACATGGGTATAAATAGCTATGCAAATTGGAATAGACTAGAGAATTGCAAAGTTTTTTTAATTGCCACTGTCATGACCAAATTGCTGGGTCATATAAACAGCAAGTGAGTAAGTAATTCAGGTGATGCTCTTTCCTCTAAGTTTTTCCTTACAGCAAATTTTTTTTTGGCAGTCTTCCATCCAGCTACTTGCTGTACGTATAAGCCTCTGGCACATAACAACAGACAGAGCAATGACATAGTGTGGTAAGTTACTCATTATTAGCATATATGGTGAAAACTGAATGAAGCTTAATTTGGAAAATAGACATGCTTCTTTAATATTCTATGCTACATTTGCACAGGAACTAATGTCAGTTCCCAGTTTGACAAACCATTCATGGATTTCAAATGGAGTTGAGCTCTCTTGCTCAGTGATCAGGAAATAATGTAGTAGTGTCAGTTACTTTATACCATTGCTTAGAGAGAAGTTACTGTGAAATAGTACTAATTTTCTTCAGTTATGTAGGTAAGCCTGTATTACAACTCTCACAGAGGAAAAAAAGGTCATTTGCCACAATTCCACATACAGAGAGTTAAATCCGATAGCAGAATTGAGTGCAGAAGAAGCTGTGTTAGAAAGTCATGGTTAAAAACAAGGCTTTACGATAGAATTGAGGGCCTATGTTCCAAATCCTGTGATTAATTACTAATGATGTAAGAAATCTCAGCGAAGTCAACTACACTACTCCGAAGAATATGGATTACTTGCATGAATAACTGCTGTAGGTCTGGATCAAATAAGATTTTTCAGTCTGCTTTACACAGCTGTTATGCAATTTTTAAAAACTCACAAAATTAGTGCAGAGCGAGTTTTTCTATATTTTTTCTGACTTTTCAAAGCTCACAGTACTTTATGAAAAAGTACCTTTCTCTAAAAGTAGTCAATGACTAGATTAATGATTACCTACGTTCTCACTGAAATATAGTAAGATGTTTAAAACATACAGCTTGCATGTGAAGTTATAATCTACTACTTGCACTTAAATGATGTAACCAAAACATTTCTAATAGTATTCTATGTCACAGAACACATTATAAGCATGACCAGTATAATATACATAAAGATAATATATATTGTATGTGGGATTGTAATATCCAGTAATGACTATATTGGATAATCTTAATTTTTAAAGAATGCTATCAAAACATTATGGCACTTTGGTAATGTTATCATACTGGTTTAGTTGTTATAATAAATATCAATTATTCAGGTGTTTATATTGATCATGTTTGCACAGACCTGATGATTACTCTATTATTTATGTACTAATGAATTTATTTTCTATATTCTAAATACATTTGTAGTAAGTCAGTTTACTGCTGTTAAAAATTCATTATAGTCACAAAATGGAGTAGATTTACTGGGTCAGATTTATTTCTGGTATTACTCCATGAAGAAAGCTGTATACCTCCTCTGATTAGTAGTAGGTAAGGTATAGGCTATAGAATTGTGCTGTCTGCAGTTCGTAATGTGGAGTCTAATTTTAGGTGTTTCTGTTTGTAGGTGACCAACAGGAGGCAGCATGAGATCTATTTTAATTAAACCAGACTGAAACCAGGGATATATTTGACAATATTTATAGCTGAACATTATCCTCAATTTACTATTTTTCCCTTCTAACATCCAATAAAGCATAGAGATCAGTAACATTTTGCTGCTGCCTGGGCTCTGCTGATATGTGGAAAGTATGATACTGCACATTTGCTGAGATGTTCTTTCTTTTGTGAAATAAAACACCAAGCAACTGAATCCTTCTCAGGTCTCTTTTTTTCAGTGACTTTCAAAATACAGAGAATCTTACTTTTTTTCTTTCTTTCTTTTTTCAGCTGGAGAACATCTGAATGTTAGATTATAACCAAGAATGCACTTAGCATGTATGAAAACTGCAGTAAGAGGGGTTCTTTAATTATCCTTGGACCTTGTATTTGTATATCCTTTGTGTATCAGTTTGCTGCTCCCATGCTAAATTTGATTTAGTCTGCTGAAAAGTTATAAGTTTGCCATTGTAAAGTACTTATTTAAATTGGTATCTTTTTTATTGGATCCACCTAGCTCAGATTGATATATAGGGTAATTTTTAGCAATTTAAGTAACGCAAATGATCAGGGTGGGTTTTCCGGGGTTTTTTTTTTTTGACTGAAATGAACTTCCATATTACTTAGAAGTGGCTTTAAATAAAAGGAGATACAAGCTACTTAGTCTAAAATTTGTGTGCAAAGGGTGCAGAAATGGCATTAATACAAGTGAGGAAGCCCTATGTTGTCTTGCATTCTTCCAGAACTTAAAATTCTGTGACCTTCAAACCTCTGTGTATATATATATATATATATATATAAAAAATAGTTACAGCAATAAAAATTAACCTTCCGACACCCCAAGGCCTTCGCCCACAGCTAGCAAAAGCCATTTGGAGACATGTACAAAGCATTCCAACAGTGTTCAGAATGTTAAAAGCTTATCTTGAACAATGAAGAGATTCACAGACCAAATTTCAGAGCTGTAGTTATGTAACCCTGTGCACAGTCAGAAGGAAATTGCATACGTATGTTCTACAGATCCAGAGAATTCACCATGGACTTGCACAGTTTGTATCTGAAGTAGACCATGTGGTGGGGTTTTTCTCATTGTCATCAAAAGCAAGGAAGCAGAGTCTGGATTTAGTGAATAAAATACACATAAATTATCCGTAAATTGAAGACAGTTCACATGAACGAAGGAGGTCCAAGGATTTTTGTTGGAGGAGGCTGGTATATACCAAGATTTTTCACCTGTGATCAATAGCCTCTGTAATAGTGGAGTAACAACAGAGGGAGAAAGTAGAACTACTTAGAATCATGTGCACAGCCACCCTAGGAAATCATATGCTTCCCGATTCAAATTATTCTAATGGACACTAATCATATTTAGTGGTTTTGTGCTTCACAATACGAGAAGGATACTCAATGAGGTATAATTAGCACTAATTATTTTTGCAGGCAGGCAGAGGTTCAGACTGTTAATGACTTTCACTCTGTACCATTTTTCCACCTATTTTAACCTGAATCTAGTTTGAACTAGCTTGCAAGAGCTTTAGGGCACACTCACATCTTATTTCTGAGCACTGTCAAAATACTGGTAATAATGTAAATTGACACCTAGTTCATACGTAGGCCTTAGTGAGAAATATCCCTGTATAGTATATTGCCAGCAAGGTGGCATAGTCTTGCTACCCTACTCCTTACTATCTTCAAGTTCAGTACACAATGGGCAAGTATGGCAGGAAAACTACTGCTACTTCTATTAAGTCGAGGAATTCGTAGCCTTTCCATTTAGTTTCTATACATATTTTCAGGAAGTTCACTGCCAGAATTGTTGACTGAAACTCAAAAATACCATTTAAAAATAGATTTGTAGTTTCACCGTCACAATTGTGATCGCTAGAAGCTCTATTAGTCAAATAAGCTATTTGCCCAGTGAAAATGCTTAAGTCCAAATACTGAATACAGCCCTGAACTTGGATTTGAAAGGATTGAGCAAGTAACTGTTAATAAATATGCAGAGTAATACATGCACGCATCAGGTTAGGCAGAAAAGAGGTAGCAAACTTCATCCACCTGCAAGTAGTGCCTTCGGCCTGCACATACCAAGGCAACACGATGCAATACAAAGAGGAAGTGCCACACTTCACATGCGGCCGAGGAGACAAAAAGGAAGAGCCCAAAAACAAAGCTCCACAAAAATGTTTTCCACGTATATTCACTTAATGACACGGTGCCTTACATGAGCAGCACCTTCCAAAAGATACTTACAACAGTACCTCCAGAAATGTTATTTCATTATTTTAAACGCAAACCCCACAACACACTCAAACCACACAGCTTCGGAAGAAATGCAAACTGCTACACGTTAGCTCTGCCATCATAAGCCTACAGGCCACACTGACTCCAGCTACTGCTGTCTAGTTGCTCCTACACAGCCAGTGGAACACGGCGCTGCTGTTCCGGCAAGGCGGGGGTCCC